TTTCCAGTTGCGTCCAAGTAATCTAGTTTGTTGTTTTGAAGGATTTTGATTAGATTTATAATTGCTAATCTAGCTGTACCCCAAACTGAAATTAAGTATTGTAATTTTGAATAAACCAAGGAAAAATATATACATTTTAAGTATTTCAAAGTGATTTGATGTCTGATCCTGTAGAGTACTCCGATTACTGGGGATATTTTCTTTCTGATCGATTCAATATGTTTGGACCATGACAAATGTTCATCAAGGAATATCCCAAGGAATTTGATCTCTGTGGAATATTTGATGATTTCATTATTAAATTTGAAATCAAATTTCAGTTCACTTGAGAGGCGCCGACTTGAATTCTACTTATTCGATTTCCGAAACCCAAAAACCTGATAGATCTGAGTAATTCATTAATTCCTGACTTTCAAAAGTTTTTCCTGATAGTAAACTCCGATTTACTTCATTTCAGCCCTCAAGACTTCCAACCTCTTTCTTATGATATGAAATCTGGATGAATTATTTATCTGTTGAAATGATGGATGGTTACCTAGTCATAACTTCTTTGTTAAGTAGCCTAAGCAAGAGTAGTAGAATCTGTTCCTGTGCCCATTTAGGGTTAAAGATTAAGTTTTTCGCATTTTTGTGGGTTTGGGAACATGTGCTTTTGGATGCTAGTTCCTGCAGGCATAATTGAGGATTTCGACCAATCAGAATCTAGGATTGAGCTGTCTTCGCACCGAAGCTGATGAGGAGTATAAATACGGAAGACTAAGGAATCTCTCTTTTCTACCCTGGTTCTCATCATGTTGATCACTTAGTGCCATCATATTTCTTTCGAAGTCAGTTTAAAGTATTCATGTATAGTGATTTCGTGATGCTCATGTGAGTTTGTATAATATTTCTCACCATTATTGTTCATCCTGTATATACAGGGTGTCCCTGGACCAGTGGGACAGTTGAATATCTCCTGAACCAATAGGAATTTTCAAAATATTATAATTTCACATCATATCGCATCATGAGTGCTAACTTCAGGATGACTATATTTTATACGAGGGGCGCAAGAAAGGCTCACAAAATCGAACATCAATTTTTTCAAATGGAACACCCTGAATTTCATTGCATTTTTATATTCTCCTTGAAGAGCTGAATTCAACGACCTAGCACACTTGGGGTCTAGCGGGAATGATTTCCGAGATATAGGGTGTGGAAGATCGAGATATTTCATTTTTGGGAATTTTTTCTGTCAAAACTATTCATTATTGGTCAAAACGGCTTACATGTCTATGTCTCAACTCTTGATTTACTATTTACTCGTATTTAATTGAAACAAATACAGGGTGGTGTAGAATTCTCAGTTTCAGTCAGAATTCTACACCACCCTGTATTTGTTTCAATTAAATACGAGTAAATAGTAAATCGAAAGTTGAGATATGGACATGTAAGCCGTTTTGACCAATAATGAATAGTTTTGACACAAAAAATTCCCAAAAATGAAAAATCTCGATTTTCCATACCCTATATCTCGGAAATCATTCCCGCTAGACCCCAAGTGTGCTAGGTCGTTGAAGTCAGCTCTTCAAGGAGAATATAAAAATGCAATGAAATACAGGGTGTTCCATTTGAAAAAATTTATGTTTGATTTTATGAGCCTTTCTTGCGCCCCTCGTATAAAATATAGTCATTCCTGAAGTTAGCACTCGTAATGCGATATGATGTGGAATTATAATATTTCGAAAATTCCTACTGGTTCAGGAGATATTCAACTGTCCCACTGGTCTAGGGACACCCTGTATATTCATTTCATTCCTGTTGTTTTTCATACCCGATACTCACCCGAACTGTGTAAGGAATACAGAAATGTCTATTCTGTTCCTGTGAGTATTTGTGAGTATTTTTAAATTGAAAACTAGGAATATGATTTTTTTCATGAGGAAGTTTATTTCGTTTGTTTCTTTTTTGTTGGAAATAGGTTATTTTTCTGTTAAATGAAAGTTCATAAAGTTTTGATGTCTTATAGGTTTATTCCATTATCCTTTCTTGGAAATCGTTTAGCATAAAATATGTCTGAGTTTTTGGAATAAATCAAACTGACAAATGTAATTTGCTGTTGTGAAATTAATTATTCACGATATCCGATAGATTTCATGTGTGAATAGGCCCGTGATGTGAATATAAGTGTTTGAGGTAGACGAAAAAATTTAACCTCGGCGAAGAACTGAATATTGTCTCGCGCTAGCATCGGCTAAGGCCTCGGCTATCAATTTGCAGACTCTAGTATAATTGACAGTTTTTCGTTCTTGGTACATAAATAATTATTTTTCTGTGACGGGAAAAAAGTTTGGCATTTCATCCCTGTTGGCAGGTTATAAAATGTCACTTTTCATAAATTACTTTTTTCCCGTTTTTTGCCCGTGGGAAAAAAGTGAGTACTTTTTGCCCAGATATATATCACATATATATACACTGTTGATGGCTTTTGTTTTGCTATAGTTCCGAGAGATGAGTCAATAATACCGTCCCCCAGAAAGAACTGCAAGTCCTTTTATGAATGATAAAGATGCCTACAACGCGGTGTCCCTACTGTTAAAAACTTAAAATTTCACGTCGATAATTTTCAGATTTCAAAATAATGTAATATCTTCTCAATATTGATTTGTACTTTCTTCTGTCACAGAAAAAAATAGTGTATTATACACGGGAAAAATATTATTAATACGCGTCGGGAGACAACACAACCTGGAGCTAAAATCTACTACTTTTTTCCCTTGTATAATAAATAACTATTTCATCAGTTCTTATATCCTCCACAACAAGTTTATGCAACTCAAGAATAGGTCTAGTTGTTTTGGAGTTCCTAAAATAATTTATCAATCGGACTCACTTCAGAGGTTATTGCCCCCTGTCCATTCAGTTGGACATCAGGACGTACTCCAACATTTTTCTCTAGATGGATTGTTTTTAGGAATTTTTGGAGTAAAAAAATGTCTCTGCCCTGAAGAACACGATGATGAAATCGAGCAAATATTTCATGCCGACTGCTCCAGACGGTGTCAAATCTATTCTTCATTCAATTCATTAATTACAACAATTGAGGGACAAATATGCAGAAATTTTGAAATTGCTAGATTTTCATTCATTTTTTTTCATGTTCTGGTAACCAGAAGCCATATTTTCCTGTTCGTTCCGAGAACTCCAACCGTCTCCAACAAAACAGAGAACCTTACATCCTCCAATTGTGGCAACTGAACTCAAAAATACTGTGACAAAGCTCATATTCTTGTGGCCACATAGCAACAGAGTCTCGACAGGCTCAACGCACTTGTGCGTTTTCGGGTCTTGATGGAACTGCAGTGGGTCTTGATGGCCGCATTGCAACTTCCAGAGGACTGGGTAGTGGCAGGGTGGGCATTTCTTGAAGCATCTGTAACACGGATATATAGAGAGAATTATATCACAGAGCCAATGAATCTGTGGAATACTTATCTCAACAATAATAGGGCCTATCCAATCTTTACTCAATCATTATAAATGTGGATGTAAGTTTGTCTTGTCGGGCTTTCACGCCAGAACTCCTCAACTGATTATCATGAAACTTCGTACCTATACTTATTCTTACATGTAATAAAAAGGAAAAAAGATACTTTTTATATAAAAAAATTATTGGCGATTGAAATGACATGATCGTTGGATACAAAATATCCAACAATCAGATATGAAACTCTATACGTCGGTAACCTAGATATTAAGTATTAGAATACGTCTTTTGGGACTCGTAAGTCTCGGATTATTTAGATATAATAATATGAAAATGATGAGTATCTTACCTAACAACAGGTGCATGCGAGCACTTCGAAGGCGCAAATTAATTACAGCATGGGAGACATCCTTCATATTTTTTGCTATTCACTGATTTGACCACGAATGACATTGACGTGCACCAAAATGCACTAATTCCGTTTCAATTCCATTTATTCAATAAAAACATTTTTAAAATACAGGGTGTATAGAAAAAATCTTCTGAAGGGGACATTGGACATGATATAACTGTAAAATATACAATGTAAACACTTAGATACGCCACAGAATTACCCTCCAAGGGAGCCCTCAGAGGCAGCCGATGTAGGCCTCGCCGACGATTTTTGTTTAACAACCCTGATGACAGTCATGAGGGAGCTGACTCCTAGGAGTAAACCTTTAATCCAGCTCATGTCAGTGAGTTGCCCAGGTCAAAAAAGGTGATTGTCGATTGCTCCTTGTTCTCTAATTTTGCATTTTTTGTGTTGGAAAATGAAAATAAAAAACCAACCTTTGAAAATTCTCTGTGAAAGACACTATGAGGGATGAGGGGTGGGATAGGTGTCGGAGAGTGATTGGGATCTATAAGACCAATTTCGTATCGGACAATAGATTTGTTAGCCGATAGGCGTGCTAAGTTGTTCGGGTTCTGCTCCATGGTAATGATCCGATAGTCGTTCAGCTGGGCCACATAGCGTTTAGTCTATACGGCCCGGCCAAACGGCTACCGTTCTCGTTCAATTCAGCTTCTCAGCTGTTTGTTATATAGAGTCAGTCTATTAGAGGTAAGTGGAGGAAGGAGGAGTTATTCAGGGGGTTACCTGAATACATTGCTGGCCTCATATATCAGCCCATGTTTCCTACGGTTGCCATGATCTGCCCTTATTCTCGTTATATATATAGCGAGAGTACGCTCAAGTCGACATCGTGAACTGAAAGCTCCTCTTAAAAGTTGTTGAAAAGTGGGAAATAGTGACAGGACATTTTTCAAATCGCGATCATGGTAAGATAATATCATTATTGACATTACCTGAATCGAAAATTGCCGAATAGAGATTGAAATACACAAAATTCAATAGTTTCAAAAATTATTGTGTGTATATAAGTGCGAATTCCGCGAATGTACACGAACCACATGTAATAGTATATGGGCCAACAGCACCAATAGACAAATAAATACGACCTGTACAAGTACCTCAACTGCGAATGATAGCATGGATGAACTGAAAGCCTTCATCGCACAGCAGAATCAAATACTGAAGGACTCATTAACTACTCAAATAAATGATTTGAAAGAACTAGTCTCCAAAAGTGCAGGTAAAGTGAAACAGTTGGAGCAAGAAATTGAATATTTGAAAACTGAGAACAAAAAATTGGAAAGAGACTCGAAGGCAAATAATATATTAGTCTTCAACTCAGATTACAGGGGAGGAAATTTACTGAACTACACACTGGAGTTGTTGAATACTAACTTGGACTTGAACTTGACAGATGCAGATGTAGACAACATTTACACCATCGGAAACAGTGAAGAAAACAAGCCCATCGTCCTGAAATTTGTGAGATTCATAACAAAGTTAGAAGTATTGAAAAACAGTAGAAAGTTGAAAGGTAAAAATCTATCTATAGTTGAGGATCTCTCGAAAGAAGAAAGATCTGAAAGGAAAATTTTGGTAAACCACTTGAGAGAAGCACGAAGAAATAATAAAAAAGCTCATATTTTTCGAAATAAACTTTACATAGATAGCAAGGGTTTTACGTACTCAGAACTACTAGAACTACAAGAACAAGATTGCGAAGAAGTTTTCTCTGAAGATTTGTCAAATACACCATCTGCTGAAAAAGACCCAACAAACGTGACTACTACATCCCACAGTCAGAAAAGGACCACTTCATCACCTGCGGACCCGACTCGAGAGGAATCGACTAAGAAACAAAATATACAAGCTGGCCCAGGTATTAACAGAGAGCTGAGATCGACAGGAAAGCCGAACAGAGCAAAATAAGAAGAGAGAAGAAAGAAAAAAGAAAAAACTGTCAGTCTGATAAAGTTATCAAAGTAATAAAGGTATCTCGTTTTTGTCACTTCAGATTAGGAAAAGATTTCTTATAGGGTGAATTGAATTAGTATATATAGATATAAACTTAATATTTTGTCACTTCAGATTAGGAAAAGATTTCTTATAGGGTGAATTGAATTAGTATATATAGATATAAACTTAATATTTTGTTCAGATATTTTGAACTTGTTAGAGAATAATTAATTATTTGCACTATAATCAATAAAGATAAAAATGGATCCATACGTACGTGACGTCAACTACACACCCCTGGATACAGCGGAAATAGAGGATATCACTGATCTAAATAATCATTTAGGAATGTTGAGAAAAAATACCTTTAGGCTGTTTCACCAGAATATACGTAGTCTCTCAAAAAACATGGATGAATTGAAAATTTTTTTAAGTTCACTTGTCACAGATTTTGATTGTATTGTCCTAACCGAAACCTTTAGAATAAATGATATAAATCTTCATAAGTTGTCAAACTACACCAGCATATACAGCGAAGGTGATATAAATAAAAATGACGGGGTAGTGGTCTATTTGAAAGAATCATTAACATATTCATCAAAAATTGTACTGATTGATGAATGTAATTCTATACAGATCAGAATATCGTTGGATAATCAGAGATATATTCTGATCACCTCAATATATAGACCACCAAGTACAAATCCTGTGAATTTCGTATCTTGCTTGTGACAGTATCTGAAAATAACAAACAATATATTAGTCGAAAAGCATATTATTGTAGGGGATATGAATTTGAATTTACATGAAGAAAGCGAATTGATTTTCGAATATCTAGACAACTACAGTGAATTCAATTTTATATCTGCTATTAACAAAGTCACTCGTGTGCATGGGAATACTGCAAATTGTATAGACCATATTTTTATAAAAAGTAATGCCGATGATGTTCAGAATAATAGTAGTTCTATCGTATTCGACACAAACATTACTGATCATAAAGCAACAATTATCTGTTTCACTACAATAAAAAACACCAGTCCGAAATCAAATGAAATAGCTTTCAAATATATCGACTATAACCAACTCAAAATTGATCTAAGTAACTATAACTGGGAACATTATTTTCAACTGGAAGATGCCCAACAACAAGCAACGCATTTAATACAAATCATTAATGATTATATCAGCAAGAATACCAAAATAGTAAAAAAGGCTAGAAATGAAATCAAACGTAAGCCATGGATAACGTCGGGCCTAGTTAAATCCATCACTAGGAAAAATAAATTATATCGAGAACACAAACAAAATCCATTCAATGCTGAAGTTAGAGACAGATATTATGAATATCGAATGCATACTGAAAAATTGATAAAAAGGGCGAAGCTAATTTATTATCAAAGTCAAATTACGAAAAATAAATATCATTCAAAAAATCTATGGAAGGTTATATCAGACTTGGCTGGTAGTGAACAGTCTCAACGAATCGAAAATATAGTTACAGAAAATAATACTATTCTTGAAAATAAATGTGACATTGCGAATTCTTTCAACAACTACTTTGCCAGAGTAGGCGAAATATATGCCAACAAAATTACTAAGCCCCCCACAAGGAAGCCACTGCGTGAACCCTTAATAAATTCATTATATTTGTCTCCAGTTGAGAACGAGGAAATGATCGATATAATAAATAGTTTGAAATCAAAAAAGTCACCAGGACATGATCAAATCCGGTCAGAAACAATCAAAAAAATAGCTAGTGAACTAATAATTCCTATTGTTTTCCTAATAAATAACATATTCCAAAGTGGTATCGTCCCACGCGAATTCAAATTAGCAGTTATAACACCGATATATAAAAAAGGGGAAAAAAATAAAGTATCGAATTATAGACCAATTTCAGTAATGACATCTTTGACAAAAATTTTCGAAAAATGTATCAAAAATAGACTAACAAATTTCTTGAATAAACATGATATTATTTCAAACCGCCAGTTTGGATTCAGGGAGAACCTGTCAACAAATGATGCAATTTGCGCGCTGCTAGGAGAGGTTTATAAACTTGTTGATGGAGGTAAGCCTGCGCTCTGTGTGTTCCTTGACCTTGCCAAGGCCTTTGATACTGTGAATCACCAGCAGCTGTTGGAGGCCTTGGAGGATATTGGAATACGTGGAGTCGCACTTGAACTATTCAAAAATTATCTAGCTGACAGAAAACAAGTTGTTAAAATTGGCGACCATCTGAGTGAAGCAAAATGTCTACAATACGGTGTTCCACAAGGAACGGTCCTTGGCCCACTATTGTTCTCAGTATACCTGAATAATCTACTGACTCTGCAATATACTGGCAAAATTATCAGTTTCGCCGACGATACAGCTATTTTGTACACAGCTGATAATTGGATAACACTAAAAAAAAAAGCTGAAGATGATTTAAGCAACATATTCGACTGGTTTGGACACAAGCTATTGACCGTCAATTTTGAAAAGACATTTTTCCTACCCTTCTGTAGCTATAAAAATGGGTTACCCGACTTCAATATATTGAGTGTGAATAACCACCAACAAATAATTGAAATTAAATCGACTGATCGAATGAAATATCTTGGTATCACAATAGATCCACACCTGAAATGGAATATTCATGTCTCCAATATAACAAAAACATTAAGGTGCTTGTTATATAAATTCAAATATTTAAAGAAAATCCTAGACATAGCTCACCTCAAAACAGTTTATTACTCACTCGTAGAATCCCGACTCCAATATGCGATCCTTAGCTGGGGAGGAGCAGTTAACCTTCACCTCAATCAACTGAAGATACTACAAAGGAAAATATTGAGAATAATATACGGCAAAAGTTATACCTACCCCTCTGAAAAATTATATAGTGAAGCTCGTATCCTGGACATCCGACAAATATATTGTTTGAAAATTCTTATTTATATATACAAAAATAAACATACTTTCACAAAAATAGACCACACTTACCCAACCCGACTCAAGATTAGAGACTATTTAAAAATACCCTTTTTCAAGAAATCTCTTGGGCAAAGATGTTATTTGCATCTCACTACAAAAATTTTCAATTCACTTCCAGATATGTACAAAACGTATCTATACACAATACACTCAATATCATTATTAAAGAAATTGCTAAAGACGTATCTTTTATTAACTGATAGAAAAATCATACATGAACTATTAGAGAATTAATGTAAGCTTAATACCCAAATCATAGGATAATCATAGGTTATATAATCAAGGTTTGTTTGAATTATGCCAAATTTCATTCAATATTTTTATTTTTCTGTATCTACATAATTTGTAAGTATTATTGTTAATAGCTCACATCAACATATATGACATGATGTACATAAGAATTACATACTTCCATATATTACTGTAATTCTCACTCTTAGTATAAAATTGCTTATTGAATCTTACATATCGTAATAGATTTAACTACATTAATAAATATAGAAATACACATTAAAACAATATTATTCATAAATAATGCACCATAAGAAATGAAATACAACTATTAGTAATGTCACGCAAATTATGAAAAACCCATGCACGACCTAGTAGGTTCTAATGGGATTTCTGTTTGTCTACATACATATAGATATTCATTTTGTAATATTGAAAACATGTAAAATTATGTATTACTGTATCGCTGTATGTAAATAAACCTTATTATTATTATTATTATTATTATATCTCTTGTGAGTTCGCTATTCTGAATGTGGTGTTTATAAAATTTATTTGATAGGTTAATGATGTCATCTTTAATCAAGGGTAGATCATGGCATTGAGCATGCATGTCAGCCACTCGAGTGTATCTATTACTGTTAGTAATGATTCGGAGTACCTTGTTCTGTAGCACCTGTAGCCTATTCAGTTTAGTGGCGGAGGCGCTACAGAACACCGGACAAGCATAATATGTAATCACAGGTCTTATCACTTGCTTGTACAAGAGCAGTTTGTTATCCATTATTAGTCCGGAATTCCTAAACTGTACGAATGTGCGTATACTGCCATGTCATCGGCGTACAGTGCAGTACTCGTACGTTCAAACACAGGAAAATCATAAGCATATAAAGAGTACAACAAGGGTGACAAACACGACCCCTGTGGAACACCTGCCTCGAGTGGCTGACTTGTTTAAATTGTAATATTGATTTTGATTTTCATCTTCCTATGGGCTAAATACGAGTCCACGATCTCCACAACAAAAATATCGGCAGCCCTGCCTTAACGATCTTGGATATTGAACCTTCATGCCATACCGTATCGAAGGCTTTCTCGATATCCATCAGTACCATAACCGTGTTCTTATCCTGATTAAAGGCTTCTATTATCCCGTGAGCATTCCCGGCAACTTGGGACGTTGTGCTATGCCCCTTTCGAAACCCGAAATGCTCAGGAGGGATCACACTCAGGTCTTCGGCAAGAGTGTTGATCATATTAAAGAGGGTCCTATCCATCACCTTTGCTATCATGCTGAGCAGCGATATCGGACGGTACCTGCTTGGCAATTTAGAGTTTTTGCCAGGCTTAAGAATTGGGATCACCAACCCCGTCTTCAGAGACTCAGGGTAGTGCTGGTGTCTGATAATGGCATTTATTATGTAGTGCAATTGCACTATCGTTTTGCGCGGTAGATTTTTCAGGAGAATACTGTCAATCTCGTCGAGTCCTGGTGCCTTGTTGAGATTTAATCTTTTATAATGCCTTTAACTTTTGAAGGGGTTGTAAGATATTTTTCCAGGACTCGATGGGACAATAGAACGCTCGGTAGGTTCCTTACTCTATCTGCTGTTCTGAAAATCTCTTCCTGCTCGATATTTTCCGGGTTTTTATTGATTTAGCTCATTGTTTTGAATTGACTCTCAAGCGCTTTCGCCTTTTGTGGATCTGTCATCGCTTCCCCCGTACAACACTCCAGGGTACCTATTTTACTTTTCTTCAAACATTTTTCAAAACGAAGTGTCATTGACCAATGATTTGATTACTCTGTTATGGGCTCCTTGATAGAAACATTTTTCAAACGAGTGACATTCTGGGGCAAATCATCTGATTCGTCCTAATACACGTACCTATATTGAAATAATAATCATATTTTTTTCTGTGACAGGTTAAAAAATTAAAATGTCATGCACTTTTCATAAATAACTTTTTTTTCACAGGAAAAAAAAAAGGTACTTTTTTGCGGATATACAGGGTGTTTCATTGGGAAAGGTAAATAATTCAATTGTGGATAGGGGTCACTGAGGTGATTTCAAAAAACCCATGGTCGATGGGTCTTCGACTTCTTATAACCGAGATACAGGATGTTTCATCAATTTTGTCCATATCTTCATTGTCTCATAACTTTCCAACCAACCTGTATATATTTTTAAAAATTGGTACACTTGCTCAATCTACCCTGTGGAATTGATTGAGGCAACAACAAAAGATGAAATCCAGATCCGGCTCCACTTAAAATTCACAAATTCTTTCTGCCAGAAAACAACGCCCTATACATTCGAATTTCTCATTTTTTTGCCATATCTGAAAAGAACATCAAAATTTCTATTCAACGATGTCCTTTTTATTCGTGTACAGACGATTTTAACTTTTCATATTATGTGCTCAAAATATTATTTTTGCTCATTTTGGGGTACAAAATTGGAATCAGACGAGATTTATTAATTTTATTACTTCCTATACAGTATACGTGAGTATTACATTTAGAAGGAGAATTTCATATCGTTCTTTGTTCCAGACTTAGTTGCAGGTCCGTCATCATAACTATACAGGGCTTTTCACGATAAGCGTTAATTAGATGTTTCTGGCAAACCAGGCAACGGATGAATCTAAAAATTCGAAGGTATGTATAAATTAACACGTCTGAAATATTTGAAACAATCCGGCGTTGCCGCTTCTACTCGAAAGTAGCAGTAACTTTGATTTTTCGAATGGGACACCCTGGATGCTTCCTGAAGAGCTGATTTAATCGATTCACAAAGTTCGGGGTCTAGAGTGAGAAAAATCGAAATGTTTCAACTTTAGAATTATTTTGCGAAAATATTCATTATTGGTCAAAACGGCTTTTATGTCCCTATCTCAACTTTGTATCTATTGATATTTAATCGAAACGAATAGAGGATGGTTCATAATTCAGATTTCTTCACCACCCTATATCTGTTTCAATTGAATATCGAATGGAAAGTTGTGATAGGGACATTGAAGCCGTTTTGACCATGCAATAATAAATAGTTTCAACACAAATCATTTCTGAAGTTGAAACATCTCGACTTTCCACATCCTATATCTCAGTTATCAGTCCCGCTAGACCTTGAATGTTTTGAATCGATGAATTCTGCTGTTCAGCAAGAATTCAAGAATGTAATGGAATACAGGGTGTCCCATATGAAAAATCGAAGTTCCTGCTGTTTTCTAGTAGAAGCGGCAAGGCCGGATCGTTTCAAATATTTCAGTAGTGTAGATTATGTTGATTTATACATACCATTGAAATTTCAGATTTATCCGTTGCCTGGTTTGGCGAAAACGTCAAATTAACGCTCATAGTGAAAAGCCCTGTATAGTTTTGATGACGGACCTGCAAGTCTGGAACATAGAACGATATGAAATACTCATTCTGAATTTAATACTCACGTATACTGGATAGGAAGTAATAAAATCAATAAATCTCGGCTGATTCCAATTTTGTACCCCAAAATGAGCAAAAATAATATTTTGAGCAAATAATATGAATAGTAAAATCGTCTGTGCACGATTCAAAAGTATATCGTTGAATTGAAAATTTTGATGTTCTTTTCAGATATGGCAAAAAAATGGGAAATTCGAATGTATAGGGTGTTGTTTTCTGGCAGAGAGAATTTGTGAATTTCAAGTGAAGCAGGACCTGGATTTCATCTTTTGTTGTTGCCTCAATCAATTCCACAGGGTTGATTGAGCAAGTGTACCAAATTTCAAAAATATATACAGGTTGGTTGGAAAGTTATGAGACAATGAAGATATGGACAAAATTGATGAAACATCCCGTATCTCGGTTATAAGAAGCCAAGGACCCATTAACCATGGGTTTTTTTAAATCACCCCAGTGACCCCTAACCACAGTTGAATTATTTACCTTTCCCAATGAAACACCCTGTATATCATATATCCATAGACCGTTGATGGCTTTTGTTGTGCAATAGTTCCGACAAATAAGCCAATAACACCGTCTTCGAGAAAGAACTGCAAGTCCTTTCATCTACCATTCGACTTCGCGGTTACGCAATTTACTAAACAACCACTAAATTCGCAATTTGTTAATCACAGAATTAGACTGACAGATATTTGATCACATCAAAAGAGTTATGAAGATGCCAGCAACGCTAAGTGTCTTTTCTGTTGAAACTTCAAATTTCAGGTCGATTTTCTGATTTCAATATTATGTAACATCTTCTCAATATTGATTCGTCCTTTCTCCTGTCACAGAAAAAAAGTGTATCATACACGGGAAAAATATTAGATTTTAGCTCACGGTTTTTTGTATTCCCCCGCTACGTGTCGAGAGACAGAACAACCCGGAGCTACAATCTACTACATTTTTTCCTTGTATAATAAATAACTATTTATTTTATAGAAATGAGGAGAGAAAATCCCAATTAATCAAGTGAAATGAATGTACCATCACCTCCTCGATTAACCTACAGACAGAATTCTTTCAGAATGCCGATCATGACTTGATATTTTTTATTTCAGAGACACATCAATAGTTGGCACAGATGGCGCATTGAAGGTACTTTTGAAAATGTGCAGATATAATCCAGAAACCAAGACTACTAAATGCTACAAATGTCCGTATGAGAAGTCGGATAAAAGCGATTTAGAGACTCACCTTAAGACACACCTACCGAAAGTGCAAAAAGGATATCGAGAAGGTCATGCCAAATACTACAAATGCCCTAAAAAAAATTGCATATTCATAAGTCGGTTCGACACATACATCATCACAGCACACGAAAAGACCCACGTCAAAAAATTCGATTGTCCCATCTGTAACGAAATTTGCGACAGTATCGCGATATACCGTCGACATATTCAGCTGGACCACACAGAAGGAAACAGCTACAAGTGCGGAGCTTGTCCATTTCTAACAGAAAACTGGCACAAATTTCAGAGGCATATCGCTAGACACAGAGACCAACAACTCAAGTGCCATTCCTGCCCTTACAAGACCAAATACAGAGAGAATCTGCTGCAGCATTTGCAAGAAAAACACAAACGGAACGAAACTTATTACTGCTACAATTGTTCCTACTCCACCAGGATCAAACAGTGTCTGAAGATCCATGTGTTAGTGCACATGAACACTTCTCGATTGGTGTTGTACAAGTGCGACAAGTGCGATTTCTCCACCAAATATGCCACGAGCTTCCAGAAACACGGCAAAAGATTGCACTCTGGAAAGTCTGTAATTTACACTTGCAATTTCTGTCAGGATACATTCAAGGTTCTAAGAGATAGAAGAATGCACGTTCTTCAGTTTCACGGACAGGACGATGAAGTGAGAAGGAAGTATATAAAGCAATGTCCCGAGTGTGGGTATGAAACGTACAGGGTGGGGCATATGAAGCTGCACATGCAAAAAAAACACGGTATTCACCGTGGTCCTAAAAAGGAAGTAAAAAATGAGCGCTCCTAAGGAAATTGCGAGACAGTTCAGACAAATCTTTGAGATATAATTTCGAAAAAAACACATCAGGATGATTTTTCGATTGTACGAAAGCTCTAAACTGAAATAACGCGAAAACAATTCTCGTTAAAAACATTACTGTAGGATTACTCAGTCAATTGAGCTAATTCTTTCAGTTCTTCAAGTCTAATCACAACATTTTTCTTGCAATTGTAGAGCCTAAAGGACAACGCACACATCATATGGATATAACGAGAAACTTTACCAATATTAATACTATGAAAACTACACTTTTCACTGGTTCAGAGTCAACTCGAATATTTGACAGTTATTTGGAACCTATATTACCTAAAGTACATTCTGATGATAGAGAGAGTACAGAAGAAGTTCATGAATTTTTTGATTTTCAAATTCAACATAGAACGGATTGCTAATAAATACCAAAATCGATTCTCTTGAGAATCGCAGAAAACTGGCCCATGTGGTATTCCTACACAAGGTAATAAATGATAGAATAGATAGTTCCTATGTACTCCAGCAGATGTCTATAAGAATTCCTTATTATTTCTATAGAAATTCAAATTTCCTCAATCTTGAGATCCGTTCCACGAACTATAGTTATAATGCACCAGTGACCAACATTTTTGACACATAAAATAAATATTTTAGTAATTTCATGAACCAGTATCTGCAATTGAAAGGCTTTGTTCAAATACTCTCAGAACTACAATGAGTTGATATTATAATCTTATGTAGGTCAGCGGCAGATATAATGTGTTATTAATTGCGTAAATGGGTGTTGATTACAAGAAATCGACTTTTTTGATTGATTTTCGATTACACAGTGAAAAACCTTGTGATAAATAGATTTCTTGGCCTCATGCCAGTTCAGGAATATCTTTGAACCATTGTAGCATCGTTATTGTATAAATTGGTCAGAAAAATACAGAAGGGCCCCCTTGCGCCCCCCTGGATTGCCTTATCTGAAAAATCACGAAATCAATTCGAGATATTGAGCAGAGCTATCGATCCAATGAAGAATTTGTGTTTAGCATAGCATATGGTTATGGGACTCAGACAGCACCAGATATTCCATGAATCTCCCTATCATATTCCTTTTGGAATATTGGAATATTCTAGAAATAATATGGAATATTCCGGAATATCTGTGGAATATTCTCTAAATATGCGAATGGGAATTCCTCAGATATTCATAGAATATATCCAAAAGAATATTCCATGTTGAATATTCCTGGAATATTCCAATAAACATATTCTAAAATAAAAAATGTGACCCTAGTTGGGATTGAACTCGTGACCTCAAGACTACCAGACCAACGCCTTGACCACTAGGCCAGTAATCGAATTGAATAATGTTGTACATATCAATTTCTTGTGAGAGCGTTGTTCGAAATCGGATCATAAACACTTTTTGTTTCAAAATCCCCTTACATCTAATTTTGATGTTCGATACTCACAACTCTGAAATAATGATGGGTATTTATGTGTTGAGAAACATAGGAATATTCATGGAATATTCCATGAATATACACCACAGAATATTCAGTTGAGAATATTTCATGAATATACCGCACAGAATATTCAGTTGAGAATATTTCATGAATATACCCCACAGAACATCCAGTTGAGAATATTTCATGAATATACAAGAGAGAATATTCATTTGGGAATATTCCTGGAAGATTCATACCTGAATATTCCCTGAACATCACTTTGGAATATTCCTTCTAGATGTTCCAGAGGCATGTATATATTCTAGGAATAATCGATGGATATTTGGAATATACTCCTCCTTTTTAGCATATTTAGAGAATATTCTAGGAATATCCAGTGCTGTCTGGGCGAGCACCAAACTGAACAGACGATTTCACCAAATTCTGAACATTTCTCCAAAAAAATTAATTTTCCTTCTGTTGAAGTTGTCGATGATTTCAACGTAATATGAATCCATTTTCTAGGATGTGATTCATGATATAGAGTGGCAAAATGCTTTGAATGTGGCTTGCATAATGTTAAAATCGGAAATGATGCGATGAGAACCAAAAATATAAAAAATTATCGATTTTCAACATCCTGTATGAAGAATTTGGAGAATTACAAAACCGTTTCAAGATATTATCTTGAACGTTCGGGAAAAACGATTTATACAATAATTTTAAAAAAAATCCTGGATTACGGAAACGTTTGAATTTTTTCATTTTTGTAATACTTTTTCCGAACACTTGGTGTATAATGACAGAACAACTCCCGACGAGTTTGGAACAAGGAATCTTGAACAGAAAGATCGCATCTTCCAAGCACTGCATTCCGATTGAAAATCCATTCATTTTCTAAAAAGTTATGGCAGTTTGAAAATTGTCGAAAATTTCAGTGGTTCACTTGTTGTTTCTTTGAGCACTTTGTTTCAAAATTTTCGAATATCGATTCAAACATATATGTATATATTAAGGTTTATTGAATATGCTTCATTAGTATATAGCAGTACCTATACCCAAGACGTGGTTTCAACATTATGATAAGCGGCAATCAACATTATTTCATCGCAACAGGAATATAAGATCTACCTACTTCTTCATGAATTATTGACCCTGGACTGACTGAACTGAACTTAATGTCAATAAACTGAGTCCAAAGTCTGTTCGAACATCACAAAGAATAGAAATTAACGGATAGTAAACTTATAACACCTTCAACTGAGTTTACTCTGAGAGTTGATAATCGAACGCACCCCGAGTACCTATACGATTTTGCTAGTATCAGACGAAATAATATGATACTTCCGGTTGACCGGAGGTGCATCCAATCAATTTATCTCAAGTACAAAGAAAATTGTTTTCTGGATATTACGATTCAGTATAAAATCACCTCATTGAAAAGGAATATTCTCAGATATAATTATCAACACAAAAAAATGGATATATACAGGGTGTTTCATAATTGAATGCTGATCCTGAAGGGCGATAATCCTTGGATGATTTTAAGAAAAATTCTTCATGTGAACATAGGTCATTAACAGCTTCGTTTCTGAGATACAGGATGTTGAAATTTAATAAAAAAATCAGTTATTGCCCAATATCTCTGAAACCGCTCTGGCTTTTTTCTTCAATTTTGGTACATGGCAAGTATGAATAGAAATACATTTTTCCATAATAAAGGATTTCTCAATTTCCATCAGTGGCGTCCCTGTTAACATACCCTGTCATATTTTTCATCAAAATGATGATACGCCACTGTCTTTTTTCTAAATAAATATTATTTTCCAATTATCCCCTATCTTCTCATGAAAATGGTCTCCTGTCTTTTTTTCGTCCGGCGAACGGTTTTTGAGTTAGAAAATAAAATGCATTCATTTGCTTGTCCCTATTCGATTTTTACTCTTAGTCATAATTTCACAATTGTGGTAACCAAAAGATCTAAACAATATTTCTATAATTTTATGGTGACTATTTTTAAGTTTTTGTAATGAAGAAAAAAGCCAGAGCGGTTTCAGAGATATTGGGGAATAACTGATTTTTTTGTTAAATTTCAACATCCTGTATCTCAGAAACAAAGCTGTTACGGACCTATGTTCACATGAAGAATTTTTCTTAAAATCATCCAAGGATTATCGCCCTCCAGGATCAGCATTCAATTATGAAACACCCTGTATATATAAAGAAATACATTGAGAATTCGCATTCTCCACGTGATGAAAAATATCAATTCTTTCTCGGTTTATTCAACAGAAAACAACTACTTTTCCGGCTATATGCCACGGCGAACATTGAATTATATCTATTGAACACACACGATAAGAATTTGATAACAAAATCTTGTGAAGTGGAGAATTTGCACTCTCCTTCATATAAAGATATGCACATAATATCATTCTGAATATTCAACAGAAAACAACTAATTTTCTATTTGCCACGTCGAACATTGAATTACATTTGTTGAACATCCAAAAAGAGAGCATGAAAATTGAAAATCCTCTGAAAATGAGAATTGTCATTATCTCTCAAATCAAATAGAATAATATGATGTGATATGATATAAAAATATACCTGAGAATATACCTTACCAATATGTTCAGTATTGAAAGGAAAATTGGAATGTATAGCTCCGTGGCCGAGTTTGTCTATGCGCTGATATTCGCTAGATAGCCGTTCACGATACAGAGGTACTGTCGGTTCGAATCCGGCTATCGGCTGAGCATTTTTCTTTAAAATGTGTGATTCATGGTTGTAATCCTGGCAGCACCTCGATGCCCTAGAAGTGGTTCGGATTCCACTATAAGCTGTAGGTCCCGCTCTTCCTAACCCCGCACAAGTTTCGACTTCTGGGGTGTTGGTTCCCAACTTTGAAGTAGCGATATACGAATACGAATACGAATACGAATACTTGTATGAACTCTGATCTTAATGAACTTGGAACTCCAAAAAAAATCATTCGTTTCAGTGATATGGGAATTATATCTCTCACATACAGGTTATATAACTCATTTCGGATATCAAATCCTCATCAGTAACCTGAAGTCCAGTTATTCTTTCATCCATTCTTCATGATATATGCAATTTTCATCTCCCTATAATATAACTAGAAATATATCGAATTGACATCTAAGGATTATAATTTGTTGACATAACTCCTTTCATTTGGGCATTTGTGATTAGATTTTCTCAATTCAGAATTTCTTTCCACGTCCTGTACGATAAATATCAATTTATCATGCATCCAAAAATAAAATCACCGGTCTAACGATATATCATTATTATAGTATAGTGCATGCCTACGAGCCCAAAAATGGTCAGATACTTCCCCTTCTGAGTAAAAGCAAATCCTTCTGAACAGGCATAGAGTAAGTAGAAATAAAGAGATACAGAGGCAGACCCACCCCTGAAACCCGCGGAGACACCCCCACCCCCTTCTCGAAGGGGTGGTGCGCACAGTTTTTTTTTTTTTTTATCGCTTGGAGCGCACGAAAGGGAATCCCTATAATGTTCAAAGAACATCGTGCGTTCCTAGGGAGGATAAGGATAGGAGGTAGGTATTGGAATTTTTTTGAACTTCTGGAGATTATATTATGTTGTTGGGAATACTTCCTCAGGCAATGAATTCCAGAGCCTAGCCGTTCTATGGATGAAGGAGTTTTGATAAAGTGCTGTTCGACATCTTTCGAGGTTGACAACGAAAGGATGTGCTGACTGGGCTTGCATGTAAATATTATTTTCTCAAAAACGGCGAGAGATAGAGATTTGTGATTTACGCCATTCGAAGGAAAATGGAATTGTACATCTGATAAAGATTTTTTGATTGATCAAAAATCCCAATGTCAGCTCTCAATAAAAAATATATGGGAGGAGGAAATTCTAGGCTGTCATGTTTTTCCTCATAACTATTAAACGGCCCAAAGAATCGAAAAATTCGACAAGAGAAAAAATGAAGCTTGCAGTTTTTTCTATCGAACGATATATATATCTCTATAAAGAAGGCATCCAGTGGCGTACGAACACATGCGCGTTTGGTAGAATAATGTGGGGAAAATGATGAAAAATACCTACCTACCTACCGTTTGTGCATGCAACGTGAGAAATGAACATTTTACTATATGACGTGAGAGGAAGAAGTTGATTTACTCATCACACATCAGACTAATAATTATGTAGGATACTACTTGGATTCAAGAAGGAATGTGGAAAATCTAACAATGAAGGTACAACAATTTAAACATTTTTATTGTAATAAAAACAATCTAAAAGCATTAAAATTGACTCATCAACTCCGAAAACTACATAAAACAATCTGAGAACATAAAAATTAACTCATCAACTCTCAAAATTGAATAAAACGAATATAAAATCAGGTAGTACAGCGCTAATTGCAGCATTCTTTACGGGTACATAATTGTGTACATTTTAATTTCCTCGGGAAACATTTACATTTATGATCACAAATTTTACATTGTCATTCAATGAATGTGGGTGGAAGATTCTCAATAGACCTTTTTTTTTTGTAAATAAGTCCACCCGACAAACATCTAAGTTTTCCGCATCTGAATGTTTATCGTACAAAAATATGACATACTTTTCTAATATATGTAACTGATTTTCATCAGAGGTTGTTTAGTGTCAGCTCTATGAATACATCTGTTACGGCAGAAAAAACATACCATGCTTCCCAACATTTTCTTTTTCCATTTCCGAAGAAGGCTGATGTTACATCGCATCCAGTTAAAGCGTGAAACATTGGCCGACCCAGGCATCTCTCTTTTAATTTATCAGAAATTTCTACGCAAAAAATGTACTTCATATTCTTTCCCCGTACCAAACTCTATCCAAATATGCTGCTCTTGATGCTGATACTGATAGAAAATTGCGAGAATGATCACACCAGTATCCACAGTTTTTATCAAGATTCTTTTCAAATTATTTTCCATACAATTTTGAGTATGAACAAAAATCCGAGTATCAGCTCTGCTTCCTCATGGTTGCAAACACCAGTTATTTCATTGATTTCTAGGGATCCACTATTTTAAAGTGTTTCCTCAATTGTATTACATACTACTACTGTATTCTCGGGTAATGGCATGTCTTTGAGGTGGTTGGAAATTAAATCGAACAATTGTTTCTTATTTTCCGAGTCTCTCAAGAAGTCATTCCAATTTCGTGGAATGCTGGTGTTTTCTCTTACCAATTTCCTGTTCCCTTTTCCCCTCTTCTCTCTTGAACTTGCCTTCAAGCTCTTATCAATATAAATATCCCAGATTACATCAATCCTCTTAGAGGTATCTAAAATTCTTAGAATATAAGGCTTTACAATAAGAGAGATATATTCCTGGAAAGTACAGCAAGCCTTGGGTTGTAGTATATGTACTAATGCAGCACCATCAATCAATACAGCATCAACATCAGTTGGTTTATTCTCAACTGTTATGTATTTGTCTGCATCGTAATAAATCTGATTCCGTGCCATGGTACATTTGACCAAGTTGAGCGAGTGAGGGTGAATGTTCCTCAAATTTGAAAAAAAAATTCCGGTCACCATCTCTATTCTGTGACACAACGTAAAGTCTACTAAATAAAGTAACATCTGATTTTAATTCTTTCACTTTACTTGATTTATTCTGCTTATTTTTTTTATTCTTGAAGGGAATGTTATTATTTTAGTGATTGGTTCAGAAATTGATTTTTTCGAGTGTATCAACCTATCATGACAAAATTCTCTGCATTGATGGACACCTTTATCTAATAACAGTCTCAAACATTCGTCATTCACGACAATTCTACTATCTAGAGCGAATAATTCAGTTGAGGTTTCCTGGAACGGATTACCATATGTTTTGAAGGTATCCGATCCCAATGAAGATGGACATTGGAAGAAGAAAAATGGATACCATTCTGGAAAACTATCGAGAACGAAAGATTGGAAACAGATATAATGATTAAATGCCAATGTAAAATTTGTGATCATAAATGCAAATGTTTCCTGAGGAAATTAAAATGTACACAATTATGTACCTGTGAAGAATGCTGCAATTAGCGCTGTAGTACCTAATTTTATATTTGTTTTATTTTGTTTTCAGAGTTGATGAGTTAATTTTCATGTTCTCAGATTGTTTTATGTAGTTTTCGGAGTGGATGAGTCAATTTTAATGCTTTTAGATTGTTTTTATCACAATAAAAATGTTTGAATTGTTGTACCTTTATTGTTAGATTTTCCACATTCCTTCTCGAATCCAAGTAGTATCCTACATAATTATTAGTCTGTGTGATGAGTAAATCAACTTCTTTCTCTCACGTCATATAGTAAAATGTTCATTTCTCACGTTGCATGCACCAACGGTAGGTAGATAGGTATTTTTCATCATTTTTCACACATTATTCTACCAAACGGCATGTGTTCGTACGCCACTGGATGCCTTCTCTATATAGATATCTCCAACTTTATATTTGTAAAATTTTATAAAAATCATTCGATAGAAAAAACTGCAAGCTTCATTCTTTCTTCCATCAAATTTTTCGATTCTTTGAACCGTTTAATAGTTATGAGGATAAACATGACAGCCTAGAATTCCCTCCTCCCATATATTTTTCATTGGGAGCTGACATTGAGATTTTTGATCAATCAAAAAATATGAATCGGATGTAAAATTCAATTTTCTTCCGAATGGCGTAAATCGCAAATCTCTATCTCTCACCGTTTTTGAGAAAATAATATTTATATGCAACTGTGCGCACCACCCCTTCGAAAAGGGGGTGGGTTGTCTCCGCGGGTTTCAGGGGTGGGTCTGCCCCTGAATCTCTTTATTTCTACTCACTCTATGCCTGTTCAAAAGGATTTGCTTTTACTCAGAAGGGGAAGTACCTATCGACCATCGTAGGACCTTAGCTATTATATTTTTAATCCACAATCTAGTCCTATAATTGAGATTTTACAAAAAAATACTTTTTGTAACACCCCTCGCAACGGAATAGTTTCATTAATATATGAGCCTTGAATACTGAAACAATAGCATATGACTCATGTGAGTGACAATAATTCGATGTCAAAGTTCTTACTCAATATTTTCTATGCACACTAACAATTTTTTCAGTAGATTTATTATAACCCAATGCACATCGAATCTCTCTCTATCAAAAAAGTCATCTCTATCTAGGACCTAAATCATTCAACAAGGTAGACGAAGCAATCAAACTCTCACCTAACATACATGTCTAGAAAAATTGCTACACCATCGACGAATTTTTGAGCTGAACTGCTTTTTTTTTTTTTGGAAAAATATCTGTATCTGTATTGCCATTCTAGTTACAAAATTTACAAGTTATACAAAAATTCATGTTACAAAATTAACAAAATACATGTTATTTCGATTGCTGGTTTATAACAGCATCTGGTTCAGGGTCGGAATTGGCCTAGGCAAATATGCCTGTATTGCTTTTCCAACCCTTTACATATGCTTTCGAATTTGCAATTACCTGTGTAGCAAGGGCGAGCGTATGATACAAATATTAGAGAGTTGAAGTGTTGCCACGAACGTTAACGTTAACGTAGAAATTGACAGCTACGCATGCGCATTTTTCAATTCTTCACGTTCGCGTTGATAGTGGGCTTACGGGTGTACGTTATCTCACGTACTTTCACGTATACCTTAAATATCAACGTACGTTAACCGAACCAAACTCGAAATATGCCGATGAGTCAAAATCATCAAATTCGGGATCCTTAAAAGGAGTTCTGCATCAGGGCAACCTTCCATTTTAACACGAATAAATGTTTTGATCTAAACAAACAACCAAAACTGACCAATACAAACCGATAACATAATTTGTTATCACGTTACGATGACAGTGACGACTTCAACTCAATTTGAAGACAATACGTAAACGTTATTTTTCGTACTTTAACGTTTACGTGGAGGTCTACGTACAGTGATTACTTCAACTCTCTATTAAATAATATGAAGGTTCATTGTAGCAATGAGGAAAGAACCGACGGAACCACAGTGGTTTGGCAATCAGTTTATGCGTTTTAGATACATCATGGAGTCAATAGATTAACTATTCCTTTCTCTGGTTTTAAATCTAACCAAATTTTTCATGGTTTTCTATTATGAATTTTTTTACTAACTTTTTGAAGATCTTGTGGTTTTTTATATCTCTAAGGTCAGCTGGTATAAGATTGAAGAATTTTGGACCAAAATACATAAATGATCTTTGGGTTACAGATTTTTTTGAATGAATGAACTTGAATGTTTTTGTTTAGAGTCGATCTGGTCATTCTGTTTTTTTTTACCGTATATTTATTTTGCGTACTGTGCATTCCTTGTAATGATTGGTAAATAAATAGTGTTTTTATATTAAGCAGGTCAGTATCTTTATAGAGTAGGTGGGTAGAAAATAGTCTGTCTTTTTTTAGTATAATCTTAATTAATATATTTTGTGCTGTCTGTAATACATGTAGTGTGGTAATGAAAGCGCCTCCCCATGCAACTATGCAGTATCTGACAATTGATTCAGCAAGACTATTGTACAAGATAATCAAATTTTTTCTCGAAAGGATGTCTCGTAGAATGTAAAATTTATGAGATAATGCTCTTATTCTTCTTGTCACATGAGATATGTGTTCAGACCAGCGTATATGTTTATTATTACAATAATTACAATAATACAATAGTTGATTATATGTATCTTATACTTATTTATACAACTGTACTTTTTTCGTTTATCGTTAACCTGTAACTCCCTGTGACTTTTTCCTAGTCATTCTACACTGGAACTGCTTCAGCTTCTGCATATTGTACTTTTTAACTAGTGAAATATATATCATTATTATTGTTATTATTTTTTCAATTATAGTTTCTCTTTATTTTTCAGCACCAATTAACTGATTTTTTCGAATGCGATGATAGAATTTTTTGAAGTTGGTTAGATATATACTTCCATACATATTGAAATACAAGGTAGAAAAAACTAAATTTTTTGTTACCTATTTAGTTGTAATGTAGTTAATCTCCGTGTAACAGCCACCCTGTATATAAAGTTATAAGCGGATTGTATCGAACGAATTTCAACGGTTGGAATAAAATTGTAGAATCAGCGTTTTTGAACATAAGACCGACTTGGGCATAGAGTGAGAAAAAAAAAAGATCAGGCAGTCGGGTCGAAGATATCCCAGAGAAAGCACAATGTCATTCATAGAACGTTCATAGAATATTCTTCGAGAATATTTGCACATTATCAGAATAATATTCTCACAATAAGATACAAATATTCTAGGAATGGACTGTTCACTGTTCCGAATATTCTGAGAATATTCCTAGTACATTGAAGGAGAATTGAAATTGAATGTTCATAGAATATTCGCTACAGAATGAGAATATTTTATGATCATTCTGAGAACATTCTATAAGAATATTCTAAAATGAGTATATTTGAACGTTGTCAGAATATTCATAGAATATTCTGTGCTGTCTGGGATCGAGGAGAAAATAGCGTGCGATATTGACGTTGAGAGATCGGTTTCGGAAGTACGAGAAATACTAAGCCTCGCGGATGAAAAAAGTTACAGTGCGAAGCGGTGTTAACGTTTACATTATGGTTTGATCTTCCTTTCATAATTAAATATCCAAATATGCCCAACTTGCCGAGTGATTTTGTTTATACGGCCGCGAGACCGCGAACGAGCTAATATAGAGTGATACGAACTTGTCAAGGCGAAGAGATAGGGAGATAGAAGGGTCTGTAGCTGAACATATACAGGGATGCTCATGCCAGGTCGTCGTTGAGAAAGAGTTATTTGGGTGAGATCGCAGATCAATTTTATCTGCTTATCGTTTGGATGCAGGCACAGCTCCGCTGCTATATTTTATTATTACGATACAATTCTCATTTTCTTTCTTCAAGAACCATTTTCTCAATCATTGAAATTGTTGTCGTGTCGTGTTTAATTTTTTTTTGGTGTTGCATTTTCATTGTCATATTGTCAAGGTCTGTTCTATAAATGGATTTCTCCTTTTTTCCATACTGGAATATTATAAGATTGGTTATTTTCCCTTTGAAGTAACGCCTAAAAATATACCCTAGATCTAAGCGAATCTGCTTTACAGCGGTATACAGGGCAACGAAACCCGGACATCTCGAACCAGTGGCTCTATACAGGGTGAGTCATAACTATTGGGACATATATGGCTAACGGCGCATTGTTTGGTCCAAAATATGGCGATTGGACCAAACATGCCTTGATAAAATATTGCTGTGAAAAGAGATACAGGGTGTTAAAGTTGATTTTTTTCGTTTTTTGTTGGCTTTTTGCTAATAACAGCCATGGAACCACCTCGATTTCCAGAAAATGATATTAGGAGTCGAAATAAGTTGAAAATCACTTCGGATTCAGAATCAGAACGCCCAATTCACTCACTATTTATAGTTTTCCTAGAAAATTTCCAGTTCAGAAAAATTAAATTTTGTCTTGTAATTATTGAGGTAGGGTTTTGAAATTTCCAGGAGGAAGGGAAAGTTCAAAGATAAAGTTAATTACGTAAGAGGCGGGGCTGCTTCTGTAAAAAGTGCGACAAAATTTAATTTTTCAGAACTGAAAATTTTCCAGGAAAAATATGAATAGCTAGTGAATTGGGCGTCCTGATTCCGAATCTGTCGTGATTCTGGACCTATTTTGACTCCTTACCCTAACGGCACACAACGTCCCAGGGACGTCCCTATTTGGTACAATTCAAGTCCGAATGTCCCGGACCAAAAATAAGTGTCCTTGGGACGTTCCATTCCGTACATCTCAAGCAATGTCCGAGCAAGGACAGCCACGGAATGTCCCATCTGGTACATCATTTCAAATGTCCTAAAATTAGCATTCTTTAGACGTCCCACGTGGTACATATTGTAGAATGTCCATGCAAGGACGTCCTTGGCATGTCCCTGATGGAATATGATTTTAAAATTTCTTTTAGGAACATCCATCGAATGTCCCGAGTAGTACATATTTTGGCATGACTTCAGATCTTATATAATGTCCTTTCTAGACAACCATGAAATGTCCCTGATAGTACATTCCTTCAAATATCTCTGCACAGACGCCCTCAATATTTCCAGGATCGTATAACAATCTAAATGTCCCTTAGGTACATCCTTCGTATGTCCTTTAGGCCATCTGTTGGATGTCCCAATCGGTACATGAACTGTACAGGGTATCCCAATTTGGGCACTTTTGCGGGGTATCTCCCTTATCAGTAAAGATAGAGCATTGCGGTTTTCGCGACAGTGTGCTACTTTTTTATGAAATTAATAATGGCGCAAGCGGAATTGTGATAGCTCTTCCGGTTGTCGAGATACAGGGTGGAATTGAAAAATATCACTTTTCAGGCACCCTCCGTGTCTCAGTTATCTTTGAACTTATCGAAGAAGTTAAAACTTGTTTTCATAGAGTTTTTCTCGTAGAATCCAGTGGCGTAGTTATTTTTTTGCTAGCACCTTTTGTTTTTTAGTTATGGAGCAAACATATGTTTTTTTAAATGGAAAATAATTGTATACAATTATATATTTTTGGAAAGCCCACTTCATGCTCAATGTTTATATGAAATAATATACAGGGTGTTCCATTTAAAAAAACATATGTTTGCTCCATAACTAAAAAACAAAAGGTGCTAGCAAAAAAATAACTACGTCACTGGA